GTGTGACCCTAGGCAAGTCATTTAACCACTATCTGCCTCAGTTTCCTCAACTGTAAAATGGAGATCTTAAAAGAACCTACCTCCCAGGGTTGTTGTGAGTATTAAATGAGAGAATATTTGGAAAGCACTTAGCATTCTGCCTGGCACAAAATTAAGTGCTTAATAAACACTTCCTCCTTTCCCCTTTCTGACCCTTCTCTCTGCTAGCTGAAAGAATTCCCTCACATCTCAAATTTTTCTGGACTACTTTAAAAATGTATATGTTCTAGGTATATATTTAATAAGCTGGATAGATGGATAAAGCATACATGTATGTGATGTACTGCTTGTTGATTAGAGGGCTTAGTTGTTGCATACACACTCATATGTACGTATTACACAGAAAATATACAGATATAAAGCCCAATTATGTGGCTGGACTTTGGGCATTTTGCATGATACTCTCCTAATTGGTAGAGAGAATGTTGATACAATACTATGTGACTCTGAGGGTAAAGTTCATGCTAGAATTTAAGAAAGACATTCTTTAGGCTGTCTTAGGCTATGCATGATACTAGACTTTCTTAGGGACTGATTCGAGACACACGAAAGAGAGACAGACTTTGGAAACAGTAGAAAAAGGAATAGAGGATATGGAGGAATGCCATCAACATGTCCCAGATTTCCAGCTTTGCCTCCCTAAACACTCTGGGGAAGCTATCTGCCTGTGTGTCTCAGTTTAGATATCTTCGCTCCCTGTGAGATAACTCAAAAAAAAGTTATGTTGTCTAATTTTCCCTCTTCTTAAGTTTAATAAAAAAAAGGCATACTTCTCTACAGCTTTGTGAATTGAGATCTTTACAACATTCTTGTGATGTAGTCAGTGGAAATAAGAAAACTGAAGCCCAAAAATCTCACAGGAGGTCACACCCATCACATAGTTGCTAATTGGAAGAGCTAAGTCTGGAACTCAGAGCTTCTGGCTCCAAGTTCAGAGGTTCATTTTCTTCCAAATCCCTTAAAAAAAATCCTATTTCTGGGCAGCTTTCCAATTCCATCTGCCCAAAGGCACGAGTGAGCTTGTCCTAAGGTTTTTGTTATTGTTTGTTTTGGGACTTTTTTTTTTTTAGAACCTGACTTTCCAGGCAACAGAGTGATTACCCATAACATAATAAGGCTTCTGGGCACATAGCCAGAAAATGGGTTGGTCTGTTTAGCAGACTCAAATACATTGGTTATAATTCCTTCCAGCACTAAAGAAGCAGGGTTCGTCTTATAGGTACCATTTTTTCCATGGTAGCATTGATTATTGACTAGTAATTTAAAAAGGGGAGGGAGAGGAGATACTAGCAAACAAGCTACATCACGCTTTTTATGCTCAACTTTCACAGAAAATGCTGAAGTCGGCACTCAGCTAGATAGGAAAATTCTTTCAATTCTGAGGTTTTATTCATTTCTAAAAACAAGGCACTGAACCTCAGCAAGAATGGAATGTGGTAGTTCAGTACAGCACAGTAAATTCTAGATGCATTTCAAGATAACATTGCATTGACCTGGATTCATGCCTTACATACACTTTCCAATTCCAATCCATTATGTGAGACATTTTTGGAATCATGACAGGCGGAGAAAAGAGTATCTTGAGCATGCAGATAACATTTTAACTTTTTTCAGAGTACTAAACTCTTGTGCCAAATTGGCAGGAATAATTGGGAGGCATGGCCAGATAAAGTACATCACACAGTACTGAAAGAGCTAGGAAATATGATCATAGAACTGATGTTGGTGATCTTTGAAAATTCACGGAGAAGGGGAAAGGCAACAGAATACTAGAGACAAGTGGCCAATTTTCCAAAAGTGGAAGGTAGATTCCTCAAACCATAGACCAGTGGACTTAACAAACTTTTAAGAATGCATTATTACAAGAATGCTTTTTTTTTTGAAAGTTTGGAAAGGGATGAAAGGATCACTACCAGTCAGCATGAGTTTATCAAGAACAAGTCATGTCAGAATAAGTTAATTTCCCTTTTAGATAGGACTGACAGGAGAGAAAAGATATGGCCATAGTATACTTGGTCATTAGCGAAGCATCTGATGAAGACTCCTCATCTGTAAATTGGGGATAACAATAGCAACTACCTAATGGAGTTGTTGTAAGGATTAAATGAGAATATATGTAAAATGCACCAATGTTAAATGTGCTAGTTATCATCATCATCATCATCATCATCATCATCATCATGACAATTATCTATCCTCATGTGGAAAATGGAGTGGTGTAGGCAGGAGGGATGGATGGATGGATGGAAAGATAGACAGACAGGTAGACAGATACAGATAGACAGACAGATAAATAGATTCAGAATTGGTTCAATCACCAAACACAGAAGTCAATCTGGAGTGAAGGAAGTTTTAAATGGAGAGCTTCAGGGCTGTGTTCAACATTTTTATCAGTGACTTAGATAAAGGTATAGAGAGGGATATTATCAGATTTGCAACCGACACAAAGCTGGGAGGAATAACTATTATGTTGGATTCCAAAGGTGGTATCTAAAAATATCATGACAGGGCAGCTAGGTGGTGCAGTGGATAGAGCACCAGCCCTGAAGTCAGGAGGACCTGTGTTCAAATCTGACCTCAAACCAAACACTTGACAACTTACTAGCTGTGTGACCCTGGGCAAGTCACTTTACCCCAACTGCCTAAAAAAAAATCATGACATTAATAGGGATAAATATGAAGCTCGATTTTTTTAAAAATCCACTATAGAGACACAGGAAGGGTCTGAGAGAGGTAAGCATGCTAAACTATATTTCATATGAAAAGGTTCTTAAGATTTTGCAAGAGCAGTTCATATTTATAGTTTTAAGGCATATGTCACATAATAACCCTGAGAGACAAGCAGTATTAAGATTATCATCGCCATTTTATGGATACGGAAATAGGTTCAAGAAAGTTAAATAATTTACCCAAGATCATATATATACTTAAGTAAGTGTGAGATCCAGAATTCAAACTCAGGGCTCTCTAAATTCCAAGTCTGATATACTTGAATACCAAGCTGCCATTCAAAATGTTGGCTCAATATGAGTCAAGTGGGTCAAATGGTATCAATCTTACTTCTGGAAGTTATAACTCTATCAGTACTCTCTCTGTGGTCACAGATCACAACCCCTACATAACTTAGATGATCTTTGAGAGTTGCCCTGGCCAGAATATCCATCTTCCTGCAGTCAACCTGGTGAGCTGCTCCAAATTTAACTGGGACAGTCCTCAGACAACATATAGTCCATCACTCAGCCTGTACCTGAGGCCTTCCAGTTTGGTTCAACATATGTAGTAGAGTTTACTCCTCACGCGAGTAGCTTGCCAGAATCCAGGGTTTGCTCCAAGTTATAAAAGAGACTTAAGAATAAGACTTTATTCAGTCTGTCAATAAGCATTTGTTAAGCACCCAGTATGTGCCAGGGAGTATGCTAAGCACTGGGATACAAAGAAAGTCAAAAAGACAGTCCCTCCTTTCCAGCAGCTTACTTTAGGGGAGCCATACTATCTTAGAGTGCTTTAAAATCAGAGTACCCTGAACAAGGAAGACTAGAGTTCCTCTCTGCTTAGCTCTAGTCAGACTACACTAGATTATAAACTCCACATTTTAGGAAAGAAATTGACAAGCTGGAATTCACACAGAGGAAGGCAATAAGAAGAGGGAGGGGACCTGAACCCCAATATCCAAGGATCATGTGAAGCAACTGGAAGTGTTTAGCCTGAAGTAAAGCAGACTTAGGCAAGTCAGAGCTGACTGTCTTCTAATATCTTAAGCCAGGGTCAAGTCAACATAGGAAAGAGGATGAGGCTTGTACCACTAGGTCCCAGAGGGCAGGCTAGGTACAAGTTATAGGACCTTAGGGCCATATAAGGAAAATTATCCCAACAGCACTGTCCAAGAATTGAATAGGATGCTGTAGGAGGTGATGAGATTCCCATTATTCTTCCCATTAGTCTTTAAGGCTGAGTGACCAGTTGACATATTGTACTGGGAATTCCTGCTTCAGAATGGATTGGACTAAATAGTCCTTCCAGATTCTGAGCAGCTGTGATATTGACTACATAGAAAATAACAGAGGAAATGTACAAATTACTGCCCCTCTTTACAGCAGTTATTTCCAATTTTGTTACTTCACCTTTAAATGACAGTTTTATTAGGCTCAGAAATAGATTTAAATCATATAACTCACATATATCAGAGTACATACGGGATGTCCCAAAAGTCTCAGTGCAGCTGTGATAGCTTATTAAAGCCTAAAGCTGCACTAAGACTTCTGGGACACCCTATATATAAATGCAAATCCTTTTTAACCATTTCAAAAATATATATAGCATGGGAGGAGGAAGAGAGTAGTAAATAGAGAGCCTAAGGCAAGAAGATGTGAAATAGGATACTTCCCTAAATCCTTCTCCAGTCTAGGAATGCCTCATTCTTAGATGGAAATAGCTTTCCTGCTACTGCAAAACATTAATTTTTGGCATCTTTAGAAGTATTAGAAAGTGGAAAGTCTTAGTAACAACGGGTCGGGTGTTCATCGACTGTAATGTTAACATGTGAGAAACCAAGAAATCCTTAAGTCTTGGGTCAATTATCCAATTAGTTGCCTATGAGATTCCTGTTGGAACTGTTTGTTTTCCATTTGCAGAAGCCCACCGTTCCCAACGATCTGTATTTGGATAAAATCCCAGTACTGAGCCACGGAGCTTATACCCCAGTGCCAGATCAGTTACAAGGAGTTGGGGGTGAGGGAGATAGAAAACATCTCCCAATTTCCAAGGCACCCGCCACGGTGCTCTTAAAGAGCAGGGGGAGTGGAGAGAAGATGTGGATGGACATCCTTGCGGTACCTGGGGCCAAAGATACCTCCCGGAACATTTCAAAGACAGCCTGTGCCCCCAGAAAGTGGAGAACGAGAAAGCCCGCCAGCCTCCCCTCCCCCCACACACAGTTAGGAGAGGAGAGCCCTGCTACTCACCCCGGGGAGCGTTCGGGCGGCCGCACCCCCAGCCCGGGAGGCGCCGGTCAGCCGGCCCCAGCGGCCGACGAAATGGGGCTGCGGGGCGCTGCGGCTGTGGCCCACAAGAGCGACGAGGGTGCCCAGGAGGAAGGCGGCCGCCGCGCAGCCCAGGTAGAGGCAGAGCCGGAGCAGGACCAAGCAGAGCCCGCGCTCCCCGGGCTCCCAGCCCCCGCCCCCTCCGGGCCCCAGCCAGGACAGCGCCAGCACCAGCGCCACGATCCCGAGCGCGGCGGCGGCCGGGGCGGCCGGCGGCGAGCGGCTAGCGGCTCGAGGCGCCGGCCGCGGCTCACGGGCTCCGGCTGCGCGCCGCTCGGGAACGGCGGCAGCCACGGGCTCCGGCTGCCGGCCGAGGCTGAGGCCGGGCGCGCCGCGGTCGGTGGCATCAGGGTGCATGGTGCTCCTTGTGCCGCTGGGGACAGGCACATCTCCCGCCCTGCTGTCCCCCAGAGCTCGGTCGGAAGGCGGCCGCTCCCCAGCTCTTCCTCCGGCTGCTCCTGCGGCTCCGGCCGCTGCTGCACGAGAGCCACGGGCAGTCCCAGTTCATAACCTGCTCCTCGGCAGCCCGCTGGAGACACCGGCCCAAGCGCGGAGCCTCCGGGCTGGGCTGGGCTGCGCCTCGCCTCCCTCGCCAAGCCTGGTCCCCAGCGCCCGCGCTGCTGCCGAGCCCACTCAGGTAGCCCGCAAGGATCTGGACGCACGGACACCGCGGGTGCGGGAGGATTTTTAATATGTCAATGCACCGGGTGGAGCAGAGCGACCCGCGGAGGAGGAGGAGACGAAGGAGGAGGAAGAGGAGGAGGCGGCCCAGACTTGCGTGTCAAGCCGAGGGGGAGGAGTGCAGGCAGTGGCCCGGTGGGTGAGTGACAGCTGCAAAGAGCGAGCAGCCTTTGCCGCCAAACCCGTGCTTTACGGGGTGGCCCGGGAGACAGCCTGCTCAGGGGCCACGTTCGCACCTCCGAGCCCTCCAGGATGACTCCGGCTCCGGGTTCCTCCCCATTAAAGACTTGTCACTCTCAGTCACTCAGACTTGGCCCGGGGACTGGGGCGGGGGGAGGGGAGAGAAGGGGCGGGGAACTTCCGGGGAGGAGGGCTCACTATGAATCTTAAAGATGCGAAGCAACCTAAGTCGCAAACTGACTTTTTCATAACCCTCCCCACCCCCGAGAGAACTTCAGCAACCTCAACTCGCTACCTACCCCAAAGGAAAATGTTGCTTCCGTTGCCCAAGGTGTTGATAATTCCCCTCCACTCCACCCTGCTGGTCCCTCAGTGCCTTTGTCAATGAGCTCCCTGGAAACGTTTATGTATTTCTCAAGCACCGGCATTGTCTTTCTTCTTATTTAAAGGTTCAGCACCGACAGCTAATACCCCTATTCTGAATCATTGTTTCTTCGTCCTTTTCTTCCTGCATATGTGCAGAATTTACATATTTCTGTATTTATGGCTTTTCTAAGATGTGGGTAAAAGAGGTTGGTAATTCTTTATGAAAACAGTAAAATTCCTCATTTCTAAGCTCCATTTTTGAGACACTGTGGTTATGTTTTGAAAAAATTACTCTCCCCGCCCTCTCCCTTCTTTCCTTAGATAGCAAATGGGCAGAATGTAAGAGTTTGGAGGCGTCCAAGGAAGCAAGATTGATGCCAGAGAGTAGACACAGCTGTGATTACCACTTTGGCTTCCGTTTCCTGTTCTCACCAATGTTTCTGTTTTCTGTGGCAGCTATCCAGCACAAATGCTTTTACCAAAGCAAAGTGACATTAGTACAAAGTATTTTGTAAGTACATGTTTTTCTCATCTTCTAACAAAGCCTCAGCAAATGACATAAATGAGACAGAACCATGAGTATAGAATCTACATATAAGTGTGTTTGTTGGCCTTATTAACACTCTTCATCTTAAAAATGACTTTTTATGGAAGGAGAGAGTGGGAAAGTACATATATACATGCATGTATATATGTATATATACATATATACATGCATGTATGTATATACATACATATATACATGCCTACACACACATATACATTTCACCTACTACATGCTAAGTACTTTACAAATATTTAATCCTGTAAGGTGGTATTGTTATTCAGTTCCGACTCCATTTGGAGTTTTCCTGGCAGAGATATTAGAGTTGTTTGCCATTTCCTTCTCCAGATCATTTTACAGATAAAGAAACTGAGGCAAAGAGTCAAGATTTGCCCAGAGTCACAGAGCTAGTAAGTATCTGAGGCCGTATTTGAACTCAGAAAGGTGAGTCTTCTGACTCTAGGCCCGGCACTCTATCCACAGCGCCATCTAGCTGCCTCTACCTCAAATGTACTTTGCATTTACAATCAATGTTGTAACTCCATACCCTCTCCCACAGAATATAAGCTCCTTGAGGGAAAGCACTGTGTTTTTTTTTCTTTATATCCTCAGTACCTAGCACATAGTAGTGTCAATACCTGGGAAACTATGGGCCCCTACCCTGCTCTGACCAGCTGCCCCAAAGAAGACTCCCACATACCCCAGCAGTTTCTAACCACCCTATTCCTGGATAGAGATAATCAAAAAGAGTTTTCTGAGTCTTTGTTTTTGTAACCCTTCAACACCTTCAACACTCCCTTCCTGCAGCTTTGCTGTTCTGTGAATCCAGACCATACACACCCCTGCTGTTTTCTACAACTGTGACCTATAAGAATCTCCTTCTCCCCTTCTTCCCAGGCATCCCTGTCTGAATGTGCCAGCTTGTTATCCTGAATTGCAATTCCTGGACCCTGAATAAATGCCTCACTTTATTACTCGTCACCTAGTTGGTCTGCGAGTTTTTTAGATGATTGTAGATACTTAATGGTTGTTGATTTGAAGGCACCTAGGTGGAATAGTGGATAGAGTGCTGGACCTAGAGTCAGGAAGACTCCAGTTTGAATCCAGCCTCAGATACATACTAGATACAGACCTTAGGCAAATCATTCAACCAGGTGCTTTTCACTCCTCTTTGAATTGAAAGGCAGTGAAAAAGGCTCTGGATTTGGTGTCAAGAAACTTGGATTTGAATCTCATTTCTGATGCTTGATAGCTGTCATAAGCCACTCACTTAGATTTAGCTTTTCCTCAATAAAAAAAAAATGAAGATGATAATTCTTACACTACATGCCTTGCTGAGTTGTTGTAAAGAAAGCAAACTTTAAAGGTTTTATAAATCTTGAAGAACTATATATAAATGGCTTATTACTAATAATAGAAATGCAAAAACCACTTGCACAAGCATAGGAGAAAGAAACTAGATAAAGAACTAGAGTATTAATTTATATTTATATAAACATATTTATATTTATATTAATTTATATCATGCTTTAAGGTTTTCTAAGCACTTTAAAATATTATACCATTTGGTCCTCATAAAAAATCCTGGGAGTTAGGTGCTCTTGTTAAGGTGCTCCGTTTGACAGATGAGGAAATTAAGAGTTTATAAATTCAGAGTATAAATTTACTACCATATCCTAATCAGATAAGTACAAAACCCAAATAAAGCAACAATGTGAGACTGCAGAAAGAAAAAAAAACTTATTCTAGCTTAATCAGCAATAATAGAAGCATAATAGTGGCCCTAATGATAGCTTTGTTGCAATGTCCTGCCCAGCCCAAATCTGGAATATTGTTTCCTGTTGTGGGCCTAATATTTTATGAGGGGATTGATAAATGGAGTACCTACAGAGGAGGACAATCAGGATGGCAAGGGCAATGGAGACCATGCTATAAGAGGAGGAACTAGGTTTGTTTAGCCTGAGGACAAGATTTAGGTGGTGCATGACTGTGGTATTCAAATATCCTTAAGTATTATTTTCACAAAATCATAGATGTAGAACCAGAAGGGAACTTAGGGGTCATCTATTCTAACCCTCTTCATTTTATCAATGTTGCAACTGAAAATAAACTGAAGCAAAAAGGTCTGAGCACTTCAATTTATTCATAAGGCTAGCAATTACCAATAAAAGGGGTCTCTCAGCTCCTCCACCAGCTAAAAGACCATGAGGTACAGCTCACTACACTTCATATAGTTTTGGGAGGTACAAGAGAAGAAAGACTAGCAAGTATCACAGATGGAAAACAATATGATTAGATGGGAGTGTGGAATGCAGGACTAGCAGCAACCCTTTCATCTATCTTGTTGCTATGGAAAGCCCAAAGCAGGTGTCCACCTGCATGACTGGTCTGTGTCATAGCAATGACAGACCAGACTTTCTGGAAGGAGTACTACATGTAGCTATCCTTGCCTAGGAAAGGTTGAGGGGACAACCTTGACATATATTAGGGAATAAACCCCTTGACTTGGTTTCCCCATTATTCTATTTCCTTTCTGAACAGGAATGTTTCACATTTGATTAATCCTGAGCCTGGTTATTATATCATGTGAATGATGTGGAACTTTGGGGAATGATTGGCTGTTCCAAATAGTAACTACAACTCTTGCCTGAAATCAAACGAAACTTAGAATGCTTTATCCTCTTCTACCTATGTTGAGTCATTCTGTGCCCTTAGCCTTAGGCAGGGAGGCGCAGTTTTGATGTTGTTACAACCATGTCTCTGCTTCTTCCTTTCATAGTAAATGTCATAATTTCATTTGGCGTTTTCTTCATACTGGATATGGCTTGCCAAATACTAGAGTTGCTTTCCATTTCCTTCTCTAGGTCACTTTATAGATGAATTTGAATGATGAAATTTGAACTCAGGAAAATAAGTCTTCCCAACTTCCTATCTACTATGCCACCTAGCTGCCCTGGACTTTGATGAAAGCTCCTTAAAACAGAACGTTTCTTGTACACTTCTCATATCCTTCACTCCTTTCATACCCAACAATACTGCCTTACTTCTTTCTATCTACTCAATTCCTGTAATTTTTATTTCCCAATCATATCACAGACTATCGGGCAGCTAGATGGTGCAGTGGATAGAGCACCGGCCCTGAAGTCAGGAGGACCTGAGTTCAAATGCGGCCTCAGACAAAACACTTGACATGTACTAGCTGTGTGACCCTGGGCAAGTCACTTAACCACAAATGCCTCAAAAGTAAAAACAAAAAAACAAAACAAACATATCACAGACTATCTATAGAACTAATCTTCACTCTACTGAATTTTTCCTCAACAATTTTAGCATGGGGTATTATTATATTACACCAATCAATTGCAATACTGTTGCCTTTGGGGATCTGAAAAACTTACAAACACGTGGTTTATTCAAATACTTTTGGTGACTTCTAATTTACCCAAATGATTAAGTTCTATTATATTTACAGAAGTAACACAAAGTATTTTTCCAAATTAAATTTTACTCACATTTAAGTTGCTCCCTTAAATAAATTTCTCTTTCTGTGGGCAAAAAGCAGAACAGTTTTTAATTATAATCATATATAATTATGTTATATATAGTATATATTTAGTACATAGTATATATATATATACATATATATATATATATATATATATATATATATATATATATA